TATTTTTTGATTTCAAAACAAAGCAGGGGTATAATTTTTTTTCGGTATAGAACAATACTCGGGTGTCAGAGCATTACAATTCCGACTATACTATTTTACATGCATTTTTTTACCACCCTAATGTACATACGTGCATATGTACTGCGGAATTCATGGTCGTTGTATAAAACAGTGCATATGAAGGAAATTAACTGAAGTTTTCATTTACATATTACAATTTACATACCTGCAAGTAACAATATGCACACACATAAAATCGCCTTAATAACCATAGCGAAAAATTGTACGCATGTATTTTTTATAAAACGCGTTGGAAATATTTCCATTTTTAATAACAATATGGGCAATTATGCATCGTGATTACTTCCCCCGCAGCTCTCAATTTTTCTGTCAAATGTTTACTTTCACGCATAAACAGCCAGAAAGTCCCTTTTGCAGATTTGTAGAAATCACTTTCGGAAATTTCGGAATTGCAAGGTGTAACTATAACTGAAATTACCAAAATCGCTTTCGAGAAATAGTTTCAACTTGCTCGTGCTGTACTAGCAATTTTCATTTTTGCTGCAAGTGCTGTCAAACCAATCCTTTGTGAATTTGTATAAAATTTTATAAATGTTGCATTACATATAAAAATATTAGTACCTTTCAAAAAATTAGTAGCTTTCAACATTTTTCGAGTTTTTGAATTTTTAAGTGAGCTGTGCACGCGCCGCTGGGGCAGGTGACCTTCATAACTGCCATCAAATAAAATAAAGCTTTTAGTCATTCTAAAGTGAATCGAAAATTTCTTGGATAAATCTACTTATAGAAGAAAAACTCTTGTGATGAACAAATGTATTTTCGTTCATAAAAAATCATCGAAAATACTTTATATATAGGAAAATGCACTATGAAAACTTTCACTTTATTATAATAGAGTTTAAAGGGTTAAAAAACTGCAGGCTCAAAATTTTTCTAAAAAATCGAATTTGAACTTTTAAATTTTTACGAGCTTTTATTTAACTTGCTCTGTATGTATGTACGTATGTTTGTAAGGGGCAAATCTTGAAATCAATTTTTGAATAACTTCCCGATGACCTAGAGACTTGAAAGTTGGTTCAGATATTAATTACATCAAAAGAAATAACTCCACTAAAAATTTTGCCGATAGGCGGCGCACGAGTCGATATATTTGGTAAACCAATATTTATGGTCCGATTTCGTTCATATTTAGAGAGCTTGTTTAAAAATATTTTGGTTGGCTATCGTGGAAGCTAAATATGAAGTAGCGAAGGAAGAGCTCTTGGAGTTTCTTCGCCTGTCTTTTTATATTCGATATTCGTGCCTATTGTAAGGCCAATACAATTCTGTGGGGTAATGGTGTGGTGGACAGCGAAGAAAAAGTTGACTCACCTAAAAATATTGAAGAGCGTAAACAGGCTTTCAAAGATAAGCATAACGAACAGCATTAGAGCAACGCCTAAGTTTCGAAATGCCCTTGAAGCTAGAATAGCCGCCGATGCTTGTGGTGAGAGTATGGAGGCAGAAGAGGATACGATGCACATTAACACTGACGGTTTCAAAGTGAAGAAAAGTGTCGAATCTGGGGTTTATTGGTCTAAAATGGAACTGATCCCGTCTCTTAAGATACTCTACCTCTGTTATATTTTTCAAGCTGAAGTGAGCGCAAAGCCTACGGAATACTTTCACATGAAAACCAACTCTTGCCAACTGATGCTACTTTAGACCCGGTAGTCAATCGAAAAGCAGCGCTCTGTCTTAACTACTAAAAATCAAAAAATTGCGGAAAATATTTCGTATAGAAGAAAATTATTGACACCGCCGACAAAAAAGAAAATCCAAAAAATCAAAGAAAATTGGATGGGCTATAAAACTGCATACCAAAAAATTCTGAATAAAAGCTGTTAAATTTTGATGGTTTTTCTTTTTTATTTCTGTACAAAGTTTGACAATTGGATTTGTATCGCAGTATTGGTAAAAGCGCTGCTGACCATATTTTATTCCACATCGTTATTTTTTTTTTTCTAGATACCTATGCAAGGAAGAAGCAACCTGCATAACAATAAAAATCACAAAAGTATTAAGCAAACAGCGACATGAACGTGCCTCTGCATAATAACAGCCAATTGACAAACAACGAAAGATAAAGAAACAAAAATCCCCATATACATACATATATATTTTTTTATGCTTGAGTGTGTATCTATGAATATGCAGATATTTATTTATTTATGTACTTATGTACATACACTTGGCATACGACAGGTTAATCACCTCTAATGACGGTGGCGTTCTTCAACGGTACTTTTATTGCTTTAATTTATTCGCTTTGTTGTTGAGAAGTTGGAAAAAAAGTGAACAGAAAAAAAGTTCAAGAGTCTACTTTATTCAGCCTTTTTCTGGCTGGTATACTCCTGTCCTAAAAGTATACATATACATACATTTCTACGTGCATACACAAGTACGATGTCCTTTAGCCTTTATGCATGCAGGACCTTAGCCGCTTTTCTTGGCAATTTCTTTGATATCCTGCCCGTGCAATATGTTTGCACCTGACATAAAAAATCCGCCTTGACTTGGCCACTTGTAGATTTGCTGCCCTTTACTGCTGATTCATTTTTGTTCGCTCTTAACGCCTTAATGCCTTTTGCATTTTATTCACGTGTGGCAATTATAGCTGCTTTCACGCTCACATACATATGTTGGTATGTATTTTGTACATATATACGAGTATTTTATTATTAATGCGTAATTACCCTTAAATTTCCTTCCTCGTTTTTGTTCCATTTTTACTTTTTCTGAGTACCAGAGAGCTTAAATGTATTATAACATGCTTTTTCGCTTATAAAAATTAGCAATATTTATATTGAAATAACCAATTCGTAATGCGAAAAGGTAAGCTATAAACGTTTTTACTATTCGCAAATTAATACTAAAAAAATGTACTTTTGCTGATAAAAACCCTTCTTGTATTTATCTAGAACCATTAATATTAAATATTTATTGTCTAAAAATGTGCGTCCATAAATAATCTTTTTTCGTATTTGTCCTTTTTTTCTGTATTATGCAAAAAAAAAAAATAAAAAGCGCAAACAAAAAAATAAAAAATAATTGCCCACAGTTCTACTCGCTTTTACTTACTTTCTTTTGTGAGATTTTCTGAGGCTTTGTTAAGGGGTTGGGATTTTTAATTTCTTCACTTATTTTATTCTAATGCTGGATTTCCAGTAGGCATTAAATGGCAATAATTGTAATGACAAAGCTGGGCATTAAAAAATATCCATGTCATTACGTTAAAAAAATATTCATTAAATTCAGTTCCACATGGCATTTTTAAAATGCCTTCAATTTTTTATCATTTCAAATTCGGCATAAGGTTGTTATCAAGTTCTATCAAGAAGTATCTTTCAGAAGTAGATATAGATTTTTCTTACTTTTATGGCAAAGGATATGATGAATCTCCAGCGATTATTGGTGAATACCACGGAGCCCAAGCGCACATACAATTGAATTTTCATCTAGGCATATATTTGAACTATGCCTCACATAGTTTTAACTCAACCAACACGAAAGCAACTTGTGATGTAGCTGGCATTGGGACTATGGCGGCGTTACATGATTTTATCAAGAAGTAAATCGAAGACCAAAGTTACATAAGATATACTCAATGTCACGAGCGGTATCAACGTACATTGAACTACAAACGGAGATCATTGAAGCTTTTGAAGAGATATGCAGCATCAACAGAAAATTTGCCAGTTCCTGGCTACTATTTCTGCTTTGGAATTTTAAATGCCTTGCAATCAGAAACGTAACATTTTTCTGGGCTCTGACATTTGCTGAAGATGCTATGCAGGAAATTCAAGAGATGCGACGAAATGCAGAAAGCCATTTTCAGTTGTGTTCAAAGCAGTGAACTGTTTGATGCATGGGAAACCCGCGTTTGTTTGGAGTGTCCAATGGGATCAGTGCCAAATACATGTAAAGCTAAGTATAGCAGTAACTGTCTGCTGAACTGTTAAATCAGAGATCTTATGAACAAGGCTCGTGAAAATGGGAGCTGCAAAAATTATAAGAAGGCGTAACGATAATTTCTGCATACTGAACTCATAATTTATATTTTTTGAATTATGACACTATTGAAGTAAATGAGCGATATGTACTTACTTACAACTCTCACAACTGCTTTTAATTCCAAATTATAGGCACCACAGACGGTGTGTCTGACTCGTGAGTCATATGTGTACGTGTTGACACGCCTTTCGACTACACACAGTTGAGCCATTCAAAGTTATGCCAGAGTCATGTCGGTGTAACTAACACATATGTATTTATTTTCCCTAACACATCCAAACCGACTCGCAAATCAGACGCACCGGCATACACGGTCTACTACATTAAAGCAAAACAACAAATGTTTTTTTTTTTTTAAATCACCCAGGAAATGTATTTATTTTAGCCTATTAATCAAAACAACCCTACAACCAATCAATATTTAACTTATAATCGTACAAATCATATCACGCAAAAAATTTGTAATGCAACCTGAAGAAGATAAAAATCACTTTTGACAAGTCAAATCAATTCAACTCATAATAATGAAAAGCAAATTAATATCAATTTGTCGTAAGTAAACTTATTTATGCTGACAGCATAAAAACAAGTGACACACAGCAAATGACAGGATAGTCAATACATATTTACATTACATACACGCAATTCTTTGGAAAAGTTTATGCACCTTCATTATACATAGTGTGTGCAGGTGTACATACATATTCCCTTCTATGTATACAATTTTTTTTTTTAATTTTATTTTTATGTACATACTGTATGCATATGCGTGTAAATGGTTACTTATGTATATACCTTGTATATATGCACATATCGATGGCTGAGTAGAAGATCGACCTATGTCGGCAACCAAATCGAAAACGCTCTATCTCAGAAAACTTTTCAAGACCACCCTACTTGTGAATCTGAATGGAAAACGCCCTGTCTCAGCTTATTTTCAATGTATTTTCCTTTGAGATAGGGCGTTTTTGAACCGAGTTATGAGATAAGACGTTATTCAACCAAACTCTGAAATAGGGCGTTTTTGAACTGGCTGTCGAGATAGGTCGATCTTCCACTCAGCCATCGATATAGTGAAGAAATGTTAAAACTTTATATCCATGTATGTATGTATGTATGTATGTTTGTATGTTTGTAAGTGAATAATGCGCCATTAATGTCATTCAAAAACGTTTTACCAGCCGAAGGGATAATACAGTTTGAAAGCTTTCGTTTACCTTCAAGCAAATAGTCCGCCATTTTTTTCGAACTCAACTCTCCCATACATAAATATCTACTATTTAATGCATATGAATGAGTACCAATACTTACACGCTGACTTCAAGCAGAGCAGTTTTGCTGTCACAAATTTTGATAGGTTTACATACATACATACACACATATGCGAATGTATATACACATATGTACATTGTCGATATCGAAATATTGTAGTAGGTTATATCTGAGTGGCACTTGGCTGTTAATGTTGCTTTGTACTATATACTACGAGTAGGTATAATGGATATTTATAGCTACCACAATTTCAAATTGGCAAATGTGAATGACTTTTATGGCTTCTTCAGCACATGGACATGTATAATTTATGATGATTTCCTATTGCTAATATAACCTATGTAGTCAAATTCCCTATATGTACATACATACATACAAGTGTGCATAAAATTTATGCCTTTACTTAGTTCGATACATTTTGAGTACTTAGGTCAAGCAAGTGAGTGACGTAGCTAACTTAGAGGAGTAAATTAATCCATAAACCATAGTTGCAACATTTGCTTAATTGACTTAAATGTTCAATATAGAGGAAATTTCTTAATAACGAGTAGCTTCCGGTAGCTAGCGTTCATACGTATAGCGCCAGGCACATTAAGTGCCCACGTTTAAAAATTTAATGCCTAGAATTTTAATGAAATTTTGCGGAGTTTTCTTGTTTATGGGGTAACGCATCTACATACATATATGGGGAAATCTTTTAAGATGGGAATATTTTGCGTATTGCGTACTGGCGTATTGTTGCCGCTAAAAAGCAGCTGCGCTGCCAAGTGCGGCTTGTGGTTGGTGTTTTTATATTCTTATGTGCCTTAAACTTCTGTTACATATAATTTTGCTTTATTTTTATAAGGGCTGTAGGTCAACAAGAACGAATTAATGCTTAAAACACTAACAGCTATTTGTTTTATTTAAATACAATATTCAATTGTTTTAATAATTAGTAATTTTTCTGTATTTTTTTCTATTTAAAGTAATTGGTATTTTTCCTTTTAAATTTAAAAATTTTTTTTTCCTCAAATTTTTATATACGAATATATACAAGCATGCATATTAGATGAAAGTTGGCTGAATCGCCTTAACAACGATGCCAATTTTATCAAAATCTGTGAGTAATTCTTTTGTTTAATATATTTTTTGATAAAAAAAGTGTTTTTTTCTTTTTAAGTGCTTTTCTCAAATTTTTATCCACGAAGTATACAAGTATGCATATAAGAAGAAAGAAAGAAGAAAGTATGCATATAAGAAGAAAAGAAGAAATTTTTTTAAACTCGGTTAGGGATTTTTTTGTTTAAAATATTTTTTTTTTTTTATACAGGAAAAGGTATATTTTGCCAAATTTTTATATACGAGGTATACAAATATGCATAGCACAGGAAAGGGGGTTAAATCACCTATACAACGATATTTAAAAAAAAAATCAGTTGAAAATTTTCTGATATATTAAGTTTTTAATATTTCGAAGATATGACATTTGGCCCGTTATAGCACCTGTTGTTTTCACAAAAAAATTTATATACCATATAAATAAGAGCAAACGGCGGACCATATCTTGTTTTTTTTTTTACATGCAATAATTAAAACCTTAACTGAATCCGAAAGGACATTTTTCACATAATATCATTGATGTAAAGAATTTCAAAAAAAAAAAAAATTATTATTGAGCTGAGTAACAGCAAATATCTAAAAGTAATGTATCTAAAAAATTTCTGATCTACGTAAAAACTAAACATTTCACACTACTGGCTAACTACTCAAAAGGTACGAACTCAAAGTTAAATTACCGAAAATCGATGGACGAATTACCTATGATTACATATGAGCAGCATTCACCAATTACTTTCAACATACAAAGTCATTGAGAAGAAATGAAATGGGCACATACTTCATACGCCCTTGCTTTTGTTGAGAGGAAGCTATGAGGTTGTAAATACAATATTCGAAAAGTAAATTGACCATAAAATTGTGAGGCAGCCTACGTGCTCACACGAGCAATCACACATAAAAATAGGTTTACTTATACTCAACGTGCATACATACATGATAGCTGCCAAAAAATGGAGGTGTATACAAATAAACAGAGGCACACAATAGCCATCCAAACATGAGTGGGAAATTTCAGCTGATTGTGTATTTTTGGCTGTTAGCCTTTTGAAATATTATATAAGGGGTTTATTTTGTTTAAAGAAATGAATACGAATTTTTTAGTACACATTCGCATTTTATATGCCGGGTATTTCAGCCTAATTTGGACGCCATTTGATTTTTGCATCACTGATTTTTTTCATAATTTTTTTTTATGTCATGGTACTACCAATTCACAGAGAACTCCTTGATTTTTTTGTCCACTCGTTTTTGAGATATCGTTTTTTAAAAAAAACTTTCCTTTTTTTAATTTCCACAGTTTTGCTAAAAATGGGCCTATTGGAATATTTTTTTTTGGTTTTTCATTTCTAAAGCTTTTTCGGAATATAAAAAATTAATTAAATTTTCAATATAAAGACATTTACTTATCGATTTTGTTGAACAAGAAATTTCATTCATAGCAATGGGATCTATTTTTTTCGAATTCTTAAATTAATGAAAAACTAACAAATTTGTTTTAGCTCAACGTCAAGGACTCTGGCTGCGTAAAATAAAATGCATTTTTTCTTTTCCATTAATGCATTGCATTTGAGGCAGTTAGAGTTTTCGGCGTTAAGTTGCACAAAAATTTGCTAGAATTCATTATTTTAAATATTATAAAAGCATAGATTTCGCTGTTATCCAATTAACGAACCAGGCTTAAAGTTGAGGAAATAAAGACGGTTTTATAACAAATTTTCAAGAAAATCGATTACTACGAGTTTTTTTTTAGAAATTAACCCTTCAAATTAAAAATTTTAAAATAATGGATAAATGCTTGAAAAAAACACAAAGCGTACCAAAAAATCCCGAAAATTAAAAAAAAAAATCTCGCAAGCAAAACTACGAAGAGCAATATTTTGAAAGCTCTTGCAGAAATCCAAACAGTGTCACAAAGCGGAAAGATACCACCATATATAGAAAATAAAATGACGAAGAGTCCCGAAAAGTGTTTAAAGAAACATATAAGTACCAAAAAAATCCTGAAAATAAAACAAGAATATTTCTGAAAAGTGCTGAAAGGATCCTGAGCTTTCAAAAAAAAATCTTCAATATTCCTTAAAAACATACTTGACAAATTTCGAAATATTACGAAAGAAAAACTAAAAATTACAAAACATGTACAAAAAAATAATTAAATGGAAACACGAAAAATCAAGAAAATTCTTAAAATACTAGTGAACACTACGGAAAAAACCTTGAGAAAATAATAAGCATTTTCGAAACAAAACCGAAAATCACGACAACTATCAATGCTTAAAAAAATAAACGTAAGCTATTACTGGTTATTTTTTTGCTCAAAAAATATCAGGCAAGATTTTGGCCGATATCAGTCAGAGAATTGTATGGAGAGGTTGACGGGAAGTCTAACCGACACGACGTGGGAAATTCTGCACGCCGATTCTGATGGATCTCTAACAGATGGCTGACCAAATTATCATGGAAAATAAGAATTATCAGAAGTGTATGCCGAAAGTTGGACATAATTCGATCCGACATATCGGATGAGGAAATAAATAAAATTCTCCAGACATTTCGGCTAGAAATCTGTACGAAACCTGTAAGATTCGTCTAAAAACTCAACTTTTTATTCCGACTTATCTGATATCAGAAATTTTCTAGCAAATGTGCTTGCTGGGAAAACATTTCTGACATTCTAAGCCGTGAGGCGAAACACATACACGAAATCAGCTGATCTAATAACACCACCTTACATAATTTTGTATTAGAAATTTCTTTGCTATAGAAATCAAGTTTGTTTAAGTCATGAGGAAATAATAAATAAGCGAGAATTCTAATGTTATTGTTAGAACGAAACGATAGTTTTTTTGCAGACCATCTAACAGCTTTGTTTTTGGTGGAGTTAATTTTTTCATTTAAGTAATATACGTTCTAAATATGAAACAAAACCGTGCCACCTAGCAGATTAATTCCTCTTTCATATTGCATTACCATCGGCTTCTGAGCTGAGTTTGAAGTTTCAAGTCGAAATTTGCTTGGAAGTTGATTACAGATTTGATTACACACAAATGAAACTTAAGGTCGGTACACATTTATGATCTTGTTGGTCAGTCAAGAATTTATCAGTTTTGACTGACGCCTTGTAGCGGTCAAACTATCAGTCATGTATGAGATGAAACGATTGAGAGCAACGATTGCATCTCATAGCAATCTAAACACTTTTTCTAAAAATTATGATTCCCGTCCATTTTTAAAGTTTCATTGATAATATTCAAAAATCTCTTCTTATTTACATTTAATATGGCCCCTGACTGATAATCAACACGAAACATATTTTCGGTTGACTGTTGACTGACGAAAACGAGCGGTCACACGGTCAAACAGAGGAAATTTGTCGACTTTAATTAATAAAAGATTGTAAAAAATGGATCTGGAAATGAAAAAATTATGTCAGTTCAATAGTGCATGGCTTTATGTACACACAAATGTACATTAAATGTCAGCTATGTCATAGTTGATATAAACATTTTCTCTATGTTGGCAAGCAACACAGAATTGCCAACACACACGTCGGCACATTCAAAGTTTATCATTTGCAGCGCTAACCAACATTTCATTTCGCTCTTTTTTATATTTCATTGGCAATGTTGCACAAAGTTCAATTTAATTGTGCGCGCTACCAAAGGCCTATTGTATGAACCCAACGGCCTTTGAAGTTCATATATGTCCACTTTATTCCACTGCAGCAGTTTTTCCACAGAGCCAACTCGATTGCGATTATCGACAACATACATACATACATAGATACATATGTACATGCAAATGTATCTTCCGTTTTTTATTAGCGTTATCTGTGCTCGACATTCAATTTGTCTTTAACGCAATACGCATACAACTACCTACTTACATACATACATATGTGTAGCGCACACTTGTTTGGCTTTGTATATTTCAGCGAATTTCGCAATGAACATATCAAATAGAGTGAACATTTTTTAATGGCAAAAAATTTAAGCAAAATTTTTTTGGTGTTTTCCCAATCACTACGACTTTATGTAAAAGTGTGGAACTTTGATTTTTTGGGCTATCAATTTTTTTCGTTGTTTTGCAGATATACTGTTAATGTACTTATGGCGTTGTTCGATATGTATTTGAATTTACCGAATAGCAGTATTTGTGAACTCTGAAAAATACGCAAACAAAGCTTTATATAAGTTTACGAAATTTTATGAAGAAGCATTACACAAAAGGCTCGAGATACATGCGGCTGATTTATATACATATATAAAACAGCACGGCCACAAAACTGAAGAATATCTTGGGAATTTGCAGCAAAATTTTAGCCAGAAGTTTCTTGAGGATTTTAGGTTCCATTAAATGGGGTAGTAAAAAAGCTCTTAATTTTAGCTTTATATAAACATACATATATGTATGTAGTTATATATTTACACTTAAAAAATCGCAAAAAATTATACTTATACGGCAAGAGAACATAAAAAATATCAACTAATCAGAGTCAAAAATTTGTTAGAATCAAAAGAGTTTGCTTCAGTGAAATTTCTTTGCTGAGCCATGCAGTCCGCAACACACTGCACCACCGATGCATCACTCATACGCCACGGTGCTCCGCAGAATAACTTGCTAACTAATAACAAGTTTATGTGTTATGTGCAACACACTTTTAAGACGTGTGGAAGTTTTCGACTTTCTACACCTCTGCATTTCAGAAGATTCGTTTACTCGTTTGCTCAATAGAAGCAATTTAAAATTTGTTTTTCAGCTTCATGAGCAACAGGACACCACTTAAGTATGCTGACAGGCGCGTCAGTAATATTGGAAATAGTGTTGCGTTTTCTAATTTTTTCTTATTAAAAATCTATTTTAGAATTTACCAAAGTGGATTTTAAAGTTTGAAAAAGAAGAATCGATGCGAGTATTTTGAGCAATTGTGAAGCTTTTATATGAACGGAACGAATTCTTGAAAGGTTGCTGAACTAAGAGGGCGATACTCACAAATCGATTAAGCAGCAGCAGAATGCTATGTACGAACGATACTCGACTTAGAAACAAGTTTTACTTAACCGTAACCGACAAACGAATTGGACTCAATTAAAAAATCAAGACAAACGGTGAGCGGAATCCACTTAATTGTAACGAACGTGGAACTTACTGCACAAACCGTTTAACGACGAAGTACTTAAAGGTGTATAACCAAGGTCATGAAACTTGATAATCGGTTCAATACATAATTTTAGTCAGGGAACTAAAAATTCTAGATTCTTGCTGAATACCCACTTCGCTATACGGTTCGAGGCTAAATCTTAGAGGAGGAATTAATGTATACTTGTAGGCTCTTTATACTTAAATTATGCTCTCGTCCAAGGGCACTGGAAAGGCAGTGACTAAGGTTGGATGTGGGGGGTTCCAAAATTATAACACACATTAAGTTTAATTTATTACATGAAAATTCGTTGCCTTACTCAAACCAAAAATAAATAAAGAGGAAATGGTTTTATTGACCCTAATCTATGCCATCAAATGCCGTTATCGAAATTATGCCACATTTTCAACACTCTAGAGATGAAGACGTGATAAGTTCTTTAATATTTTTAGCTATACTCATATATTCCCAGACCAATTGAGCGAACATTTACACTTGCACAAATCAAATGAGCGAAGTATGATAGTTAAGGGGTTACACATATATGGTTACATATGTACATTAGACTGCATCACTCCCCATACTAAGAAAAATCGGTACTGTGTGTCAGCTGGAATTATAACATGTATTACATGTATCTATTATACCACCAAAATATTTCGGAAAAAAATTAAGATTTACGTGAGCTGGACCGATCTTAAAATATCTCCAAAAATTTTAGTTATGAATAAAAATAGCTTCTTAAAGATTTTCTTGAAAAAACAAAACAACAAAACAGTTTAAGGTTAAAAACTTTGCATAAAACTATTAAAAAGATCAAAAAATGCTTCTTCGGAATCGTAACAATAAGATTTTTGATGCTGTTTTTTTAATTTTTTCAAAAATTGGTATAAGAAAAAATTTAATAACTGAACCTTAGCTATTAAGATTTAGACTTGTGAGATATCATTGGAAGGGTATTTTCTCAGCTCACTTAAATCTTACTGTTGTTCGGAAATATTTTGGTGAACGTCTTCAAATATAATAGGTTTTGTAATCCCGGCGAAAAAAAAACCGCAACTATTTTGGGGGATGCAGTCTAATGTACATAAATATGAAAAGAAGAACAAGCTCAGATGTTGAAATTTTAATACAGCTTCTTCTCGACAGTAGTTACATATTTCACAAAGCTGAATAAATAAGGAACTGCAGAGCAAATTATGGCCATATCAGGAAGATAAATAAAGTAAGACGAAAGTAAAAGACATAAAATATGAATAAAGAAAGAGATAGTAAAATAAGAGATATACACAGATACTCGAAACGAAAATGGTTAAAATATCCGTACTCGCATACACACAAAGAATACTTGTGCTACTTAAAACATACAAATGCACTTACATACGACATATAAAAGCACATAAATATGAACACCAAAGCAAACTTCAAACGGAAAAGCAATGGCAACTGTTGGCCAACCAAGTGGGAGGAGCAAGTAAAAGGATACAAGGAAAATTCAAGCAAAGAGACACAGTCAATCGAAAGGCAACAGGCAGATAGTAAGCAGGAATTTTTGTATATTTACCCTGTGGGAAATGTATGTAACTATAAGTTAATTTGAAGTTGATTAGGAATGAACTAAAGGTAACTATTCTCTGAATATTTTCTCTGAGGAAAGCTAACTATATTTCTATGGCAATGGCCGGGAAATAGTCAAGGCTGGTAACCTCTGCATTTGATGTCAACTAACTTGTAACCAACTACTTTTGGACATAAAATTACAATAAGAAAATGTAAATATTTTTTGTTATTTAGCTTTATTTATTTATTTACCTTTATTTTTATTATATATTTGCTTACATACGCTGCTGTAGGTGGTCCCATATACGAACTCCGTCAGACATAACCTCAAAATGGTAATACAAAATTTTGATTTTCCCTTTATTTGTCCTAAAGTAAAATTTGTATGAGGATATTTAAATAGAAA